TTCCAGCGCAGTGTCGCCGCGAGTCGTATGCGTTGACCGTCCCAGACGGGCGAGCTCCATTCGACGGCTGCGAAGTAGATCTCCATGCCGGCGATCCATCTGCGGACGTCGGAATTTCGATTGCTTGGATCAAACGGCTCCGGTGGGGCTCGGCTTTAGAGCCTCGAGAAATTGTTGCGACTGCTGCGTCGTCGCCGTTGTCGTTTCGTGTTGCGCGCCGGCGAGTCGAGTTACTCGCTCGAACTCATTTCGCCAAGCTTCGAGGTCGGCTCGCATCTCCTCCTGTAGGGCGGCGATGCTTGCGAAGAGCTGCTGGGTACCTTCGGCGTTGTCAAAGTTTGCCATCTTGTTCAAAACACGCGCGGAGGGGGTAATTCAAAAAACGCGGAGCTGGTGCTTACCAAAATCGGCGTCGAATTGGTCGCCCCCGGCGGTTTTTCGAGGCAGGAGTCCCGCTGCTGCTGCTTAGCTGAGCATCCGAGTGAGAAAAGCTCTTATTACCAAGTACCACAGTATCGAATGTGTCGAGGAAAGGTTTCACTATCGATTGAGATCGTATTCTGAAGTTGGGCCGACGAGCAAAGTTTTCCCATGCGGCGCGAAATGTCTCAAAATGTCTAAAATTGGGAATGCAATGTTGGGCCGTGCGCTTCGGCTTTTGCCAAAACCCATAGTTTCGCCCATGTGCCCTGCGACGTGGGCGCACGACCAACGCGATCACCACATCAGGCGCAAACTGGTACTGCGGGTGAATGCGCCTCGTCTGGACGCGACCCACGTCTGCAAAGACGGCCCAGTGGCACGGATACCGCATCATCTGCCCGTAACCACACACAAACAAACGAGGCACAAAACAAATAACGGGCAGAACTTCCTGGACCCCAAGGTCAGCTCTCAAGCCACAAAAACCAGACATAAACATCGCAATGCATTCTACAGTTTAGCAGTGCAGGTTCGTAGTTTTTGGGGCTGTTGGCGGTTTTTTCTTGTTCCAATGTTGTTGCAGAATCGACCGCCAGGTTGCAACCGCGCATCCGGTACATTCCTCTCTTCGCCTATGGGTCGTAGCCCGTTGTGCGCACTTCCAGTTGGACGCAAAATTTTAAAGGTCGCATTTTCGCGGTTTGTTTTCGCAGTCGTCTTCGCGAGCGATTCGTAGCAAGGTAGGGTTTCCACTACGGTTTTCCCACCTTTATGGCCCAAACCCGAGTCGCATGGGAAAACTTGGAACCGATGGGAAAACTTGGTCGTCGGCCCAACTTCATAATTCGCTGTGATACAAGGCGCTTTAATACTTCCAAAGTACATCAGGTAACCAGGTCTATCTTATTTTAAGGGAAAAGACCCTTCTAGAAAATAGAATCACCCTGTGTATAGCCATGCGAGGCTATTGGCTTTAAGGGATTACGGCAGGTATACGCTAGATATAGCGCGTCAGTACATCCCGAGCCCTGTCGGTGATATAATGATAATAACATGATCAATCAAAGGTTTATGGAAAAGGAGGATTAGGAATCCAAATGGAATAAGATAAAGACCAAATAAATCATGATAAAGAGAGGAATGAAATGGAAAGGGAAGATGGGAAGGAGAAAGGAATGGACCGGGATCGTTCTCTCACACAGAAACTGCAGGAAAAAGGCTCTACGAATGGTCAGTAGAAGTAACCCCCGCCCGTCTCGAAACGTTTTCTCGCCCGCGCTAGCCCAATTTCGTCATCATTGTGGCTGGCGCAATATTTTTCCCGATCTCGAGGCGCAGTTCGAGCGAATAAAACAAAAAATGCCCAAATTAAGATTCATTGAAAAATTGTTAATCGAGAAACACGAAAACACGATTTTATTACTAAGCATGTACTTTCGTCACAGAGGGTAGCGCGTCCCGCGATGACTAAAAATGGCGGCCGCATTTACGGCCCCCAAAAAAAGTCAAGCCATAAACTTGTTGTCATTCCCGAGTCGCCCGAAAACAACAACATATATAGATAGCCACAAGGGTTTAAAATGGAAAATGAATATGTTTAAAAGCGCGTCCAGGTACTCTCAGAACCGCATTCAATTTTGTATTAATTTCTATACAACAAATCTGTCGGTTGTCTTCTGATTTTTTCAACAAATGTATTTACAGGAAAAAATTTCCGCCGAATTTCGACTCTACATGTCTTGTCATGCTCGAAACAAATTAGTGCACGCGCACTACTGTTTAATGTTCACGCTTCATTGGCTTAGCGCCGATCGCGGATAGATTTTCCCTTTCGTGTCAAATGTTCTTGCTTTTTTGCATTTGTTAATGTTTGAAGAATATCACACCCGATGTGCGGCCCGCTGTGGCCCAATTACCTTATGTGACAAAGATGCCCAATATCTCAATTTTGGAATTTTGTGTGAGCAAAGTCCAACGACTTTTAATTTGGGAATACTTTACGTAGTTCTCTGGTACTGCGCCTGAAGCCTGCGCCATCGTGCCAGCTGCAATGATGACGAAATTGGGCTGGCGCGAGCGGGAAAACGTTCCGCGACCGGCGGGGGTTACTTCTACTCATCATTTGTGGAACTTTTTTTCAACTTATACATATATTGTTCTGTAGAAGTTATATGCTAGATATGGTATGTTCTTAGAGGGTACATCTCAAACCATATATCTCCCTTGTTCTCCCTTGTGTTATTTATTAATTTTAGCTTCTAACATGGTATCACGAATAGGTAGGTCCACCCACCCGCTTCCGCCCCGCGCCCTAGCCTACCGCACCTCGCTAGCCCCTACCCGGCCCCTCGCGCCCCTAACGGCCCCACGCGCCCCTAGGGCCCCTCGCGCCCCCTATACGGCCCGTCGCGCCCCTACCCCCCCCCCTCGCGCCCTTACGGCCCCCTCGCGTCCCCCTACGGCCCCCTCGAGCCACCTACGGCCCGTCGCGCCCCTACGGCCCAGCGCGCCCCTACAGCCCCCCTCGCGCCCTTACCCCCCCGCCCCCCCCCCCCCCCCTTCGCGGCCTTACGGCCCAACGCGCCCCTACCGGCCCCTCGCGCCCCTACCAGCCCCTTGCGCCCCTACCGGCCCAGCGCGCCCCTACGACCCCAGCGCGCCCCTACGGCCCCCTCGCGCCCCTACCGGCCCCTCGCGCCCCTACCGGCCCCTCGCGCCCCTACCGGCCCCTACCAGCCCAGCGCGCCCCTACGGCCCCCTCGCGCCCCTAACGGCCCCTCGCGCCTCTACCGGCCCCTCGCGTCCCTAGCCGTCCCCTCGCGTCTGTAGCCGACCCCTAGCCGGCCCCTAGCCGGCCCCTAGCCGACCTTAGCCATCCCCGTAGTCGGCCCTTGGCGCCTCTACCAGCCCCTCCTTCCACCCGAGCTGGCCCCTTGCGTTCCCGCTGGCCCCTGCTGGAGCTGCCGAGCCGCCGAGCCGCCATGACTTCGACTGCCGTGCCACCGAGCCGCCGAGCCGTCGAGCCGCCGAGCCGCCGAGTCGCTGTGCCGCTGCGCCGTAGAGCCGCTGTGCCGCAGTCCCACTGTGCGATGGCGGACGCTGTCCTCCGTCGTCGCTACCTGTCGCGCCTCCCCCTCTGTCAGACTACCTTCGTGCGGCTCGTCCTCTTGTTCCCTGACTCCTTGCCTCCCTTGTTACCGACCCGTCTGTTCCTGTCTCCAGTCTGGACGCTCTTGTCGCTGCTGTCGCTGACTTCGCCTCAACCCGCCGCCTTGAATACGCCACTGCTCTGGTCTCTGACCTTGTCTGCCCTCCGTTCGTCGGGGGTGCTTCTGCCCTTGGCAGTGACGTCCTAGAGGACAGACAGTACGAGCTTGCTTTCCTGTCGGAGGCTGCTCCCCATCTCTGTTCCATGTTGCTATTCCTTGAGGATGAGCCTGACGCCTTTGACATCCCGACCCCTCGCACCTACGCTGAGGCCACCTTGGGACCCTGGGCATCTGAGTGGATAGCTGCCATAGAGCAGGAGATGGCATCTTGGAGGGCTACCGGCACCTACGTCCACGCAGTTCCCCCACCTGGGGTGAACGTAGTCGATGGCCGGAGGCTCTTCAAGGTGAAGCGCCCCCCTGGACTACGAGCTTTACTCCTTTGAGCTTCTCCATTGCTTTCCTACAGGGCAGCCTACACGAGCAGGTCTACCTGCGCCGCCCTCAAGGCTTCACCAGCACTTTCCCTCCTGGGACCCAGTGGCTCCTCCGGCGCCCCGTCTACGGCTTGCGACAGGCGCCCCGTGAGTGGCACGACACGCTGCGTGCTACGCTAGCTGACCTGCAGTTCTTTCCGTAGGCTGCAGACCCTTCACTCTTCGTTCGTCCTGGCCAGACTTCGTTATACATCTTTGTCTACGTAGGCGACCTGGTCTTCGCTACTGCAGACAAAGATGCACTGGCCTCCGTGAAGGCTGAGCTGCTGAGGAGACACACCTGTACTGACCTGGGAGAGCTGCGCCGCTACCTTAGCCTGCAGATCTCCAGGGACAGAGCAGCGCGCACCATCACTCTTACACAGTCACACTTGGTGCGCCAGGTCCTTCAGAGGTTCGGTCTTCTGTTTTCCTCCGCTCAGCCCACACCTCTGCCGGTAGACCATAAGCTCTCAGCTCCGGTCCTGAGGAGTCAGCAGAGCCCAGTGGTCCTTACGCAGAGCTGGTGGGTTGCCTCATATACCTGATGATTTGCGCTCGTCCAAATCTCGCATACCCTCTCGGCATTATGGCCCGCTTTGTGGCCAGGGGCAGACGCCTGCCTCAGAGGTTGGACTAGTAGTGCCACCCTGAGCTGCGTGTTTTTTGCTCAACACTACCCCTTATCTAGCCTAGGGGGTGTGTCAACTTATATGTATATTGTTATGTAGAAGTTATAGGCTAGATAGGGTACGTTCTTAGAGGGTACAACTCAAACCATTTATCTCCCTTGTTTTTCCTTGTGTTATTCATTCATTCTAGCTTCTAACACTTTTTTCCTGCAGTTTCTGACTAACGGTGGAATCCGACTGATGAAACATGTTGCGAATTCGCTATTTCTGATTGTTTATATCGTGTCACTGAGCGTACATGTTATCTAGGCCCCTAATGCTGAGCGCCGATATACTTTCCCTCTAGCTATCGCATTCCTTTTTCAAGCTCACTGCTGTTGTAATAAATAAAATAAGTCATTGCCTGGGTGACCTGGAGTGCCGGTAGTTGGCATATCACAAGTGTCTCCCAAGCATTTATGCTAGGTAGAGACAATGACAAGCATCTCTAGAGCGAGGGAGGCTTATTTTACTTTTCCTTCTTCGATTTTTCTGCCCTTAGATTCTGCAAGCATAGAGAAGCCAGGGGTGGCATACATTAGTGAGCAACAGAGAGGTACCAGTAAGAGGAGAGGGGGAAGTAGTGGGCGAGCTACGCAACGCAGCTAACCACACACAAGCAAGCACTCCCACCCACCGGCGAGTCAATGGTCAGTATCATAACTCACATGCACCTCTCGCCAACACCCCATGCTCGTTGACGCGTTTTAAAAAGCACCAGCGCCTTTTGGTGGAAGCCCCTGCGGTTGCCTCTTAGATCAGCCTTCCCCGCGTCCCCTGATCACTTAAACCCCCCTCCCCCAACCCCCCTCAATGGCGTCATCTTCCCCTCAGCAGTAACCGTGCACAACAGGATGGTGTAGGCACCTGCCTCTCCTTAGTTACCTCAGCCAACTTGTCCCACATCCCCTGATGAGGTGAATTCCCTCCCTCGCTCGCCCCCCTGCATGGCTCACCTTCATCTTCTCCTCAGCCGCCACCTTGGCGTAGTAGCCCTGCACGCACGGGAGGGGCCACAATGCCACGCATGGCCCACAGCCGGGGGGGGGGGAGGGGAAGGGGGGAGGGGCGTTGGAGGCAGGGGAGAGCAGTGGGAAGAGTGAGTGGCATGCTGTGCTGGGCAGCGACTTGGTGTGGAAGCCCTGCACACATGGGGTGCAGGGTGGGGGGGAGGAGAGAGAGGAAGCAAGAGTGAGGATATGGACTGGGTGTGGCCATTCGTGCATGGGCTAAACGTTGTTGAAAGGCGTCACTGCGTTTTGGCAATGCAGCAACTCGGCCCTTCCTGTCTTCCATGCACGCCTCTCTTGTGCTGCACGGTGGGGCTGCTGCTTGGCTCTGGACCACAGAACCATGGGGTGCTTTCTACACCTCACCTTGGCTGCCGTATGGCTTCACCTGACCAGACACTTTGTTTCTTTTGTCTCATCCAAAGAATTCTCTCACGTGTGCGATGGCATCTCCATGTTGGTGCTGCACAGATTCATCCCACCTTTCCAGAGCCACATGGTTTCGCTCACCTTGTCCATGCCGTACAATCTCATCCCACCTCACCTGTGCCGTACAGTTTCATCCCACCTCGCCTGTGCCATACGGTTTCATCTCACTGCACGATTTCATCTCACCTTATCGGTGCCGTAGAGCCAGTCGCAGATGGTGAAGATGGAGGCGAAGTTGCAGTGGCTGTGGCCCCCCACCTCGTGGTGGTAGTCGTGGAAGCGCGGCCCGCCGTAGAACGGGATCAGCCGCGTGGGCGACCACGGGAAGTCATACCTGGGCAGGTGGGGGGGGAGAGGCGGGGTAGGGGGGGGAATGTTGAAAGGGGGGGAAGTTGGAAGGAGAGGTGGGCAGGAGCGGGAGGTGGGTACGTGGGAGGGCGATTGGGTAGGTTGGAGGGGGGTTGGTTAGGTGGGAGGGGGATTGGTTAGGTGGGAGGGGGATTGGGTAGGTGGGAGGGGGATTGGGAAGAGGGGTGCAGGGAGCGCTGCCACAGAAGGGATGAGGTGCATGGAATAGCAGCGGAAGTCGTAGCAGATGGTGGGGGGAGAAGCTAGGCGGAGAAGTGTGAGCGGGTGAGGAGGAGAGAAGCACAGCGATGAGCGCGGAAGTGCTCCACCTATTTCACAGCGCACAGGCTGGTTGAACAAGAGACAGGTGCCATGATACTAAAAGACAGCACGCTTGCCGCACTTGACCCACGCGCCCTGCACAACCCACTCGCACCCTGCAAGCCCCAGATGCACCCTGCAAGCCCCAGATGCACCATGCGCACCCCCCATGCACCTGCGCACCCCCCATGCACCTGCGCACCCCCCATGCACCTGCGTACCACCCATGCACCTGCGCACCGCCCATGCACCTGCGTACCGCCCATGCACCTGCGTACCGCCCATGCACCTGCGCACCCCCCATGCACCTGCGTACCGCCCATGCACCTGCGTACCGCCCATGCACCTGCGCACCGCCCATGCACCTGCGCACCCCCCACGTACCCCGAGTGCGTCTCGATGGCCTCCAGTTGGCGCAGCAGGATCCAGGCCCACAGCGTGACCACGTGGCACTGCACCATGGCCGGCCCCACCAAGGTGGGGATGCCCAGCACCAGCACCTCCGCCCAGTGCGCGTACGTGGCGGCCGCGCCCATGGGGGACGTGTACTCGTGGTGCTTGTAGTGGATGTGCTTGTAGAGGAGGGGATGGTGGAAGAGGCGGTGGATCCAGTAGTTGCCGTAGTCCTCGAGCAGCAGAAAGACGAATATCTGCAGCGCCATGGTGGACACCGTTGGCAGGGGCAGCGACGCCGTGATGCCAGCTACCTGCAATGCAGGGGGGCGGACGAGAGGGGATGAGAGAGGGAATGAGAGAGGGAATGAGAGAGGGAATGAGAGAGGGAATGAGAGAGGGAATGAGAGAGGGAATGAGAGAGGGAATGAGAGAGGGAATGAGAGAGGGAATGAGAGAGGGAATGAGAGAGGGAATGAGAGAGGGAATGAGAGAGGGAATGAGCGAGGGAATGAGCGAGGGAATGAGAGAGGGAATGAGAGAGGGAATGAGAGAGGGAATGAGAGAGGGAATGAGCGAGGGAATGAGAGAGGGAATGAGAGAGGGAATGAGAGAGGGAATGAGCGAGAAAATGAGAGAGGGAATGAGAGAGGGAATGAGAGAGGGAATGAGAGAGGGAATGAGAGAGGGAATGAGCGAGGGAATGAGAGAGGGAATGAGCGAGGGAATGAGAGAGGGAATGAGAGAGGGAATGAGAGAGGGAATGAGAGAGGGAATGAGAGAGGGAATGAGAGAGGGAATGAGCGAGGGAATGAGAGAGGGAATGAGAGAGGGAATGAGCGAGGGAATGAGAGAGGGAATGAGAGAGGGAATGAGAGAGGGAATGAGAGAGGGAATGAGAGAGGGAATGAGAGAGGGAATGAGAGAGGGAATGAGAGAGGGAATGAGAGAGGGAATGAGCGAGGGAATGAGAGAGGGAATGAGAGAGGGAATGAGAGAGGGAATGAGCGAGGGAATGAGAGAGGGAATGAGCGAGGGAATGAGAGAGGGAATGAGAGAGGGAATGAGAGAGGGAATGAGAGAGGGAATGAGAGAGGGAATGAGCGAGGGAATGAGAGAGGGAATGAGAGAGGGAATGAGCGAGGGAATGAGAGAGGGAATGAGAGAGGGAATGAGAGAGGGAATGAGCGAGGGAATGAGAGAGGGAATGAGAGAGGGAATGAGAGAGGGAATGAGAGAGGGAATGAGCGAGGGAATGAGAGAGGGAATGAGAGAGGGAATGAGCGAGGGAATGAGAGAGGGAATGAGAGAGGGAATGAGAGAGGGAATGAGCGAGGGAATGAGAGAGGGAATGAGAGAGGGAATGAGCGAGGGAATGAGAGAGCGCCAGTGGAAGGGGTGTGGCGGGAGACAAGGAGGACGTGAAGGACCTGGTTGACACAGAGTAGGGGGCCGCCATGCTTCGTGCAGCGCCGGCTGCTTGGAAGAAAGGTGGCGGGGGAGGGCAAGGGGAAGAGGTGTGACGGAGAGGCGGTGCACCAGCAGCGGACAGCGCAGGGGACAGCGGGCAGTGGTGGAACAGGCGCTGGTGGAACAGGCGATGGCGGACAGCACAGGATGCGAGGGGCGATGGCGGACAGCACAGGATGCGAGGGGCGATTGCGGACAGCACAGGTCGCCATGACTCCGGCCTCCTGATGGCTGCACTGCGAGGACCGGCTGGAAGGTGACAGGCAGCGGGGTGGTGGCGGGGGGGAGGTGCGGGGGGGGGAGTTACGGGAGGCGGAGGTGGAGGGCGCGGAAGGGTGGCGAGAAGACAAGCGCGGGGAGAGGGAGGAGGGGGAGAGGGAGAAGGGGGTAGGGGGATAAGGGGGTAGGGGGGTAGGGGGGTAGGGGGATAGGGGGATAGGGGGATAGGGGGATAGGGGTCGGCGAGGAGGGGTGCACACGAGCCGGAGGGAGGACGGGGCAGAGCGGGCGAGGTGAAAGACGTGCGAGATGCCGGCTAGTCGCTACGAGCGGTGCTGTGAGTGAGGCAGGAGAAAAGTGACAGTTGCTGTGAGCATCACGACAGGAGGAGCCACAGCGACGGGCCAACACGGGAATGTGCCGTGACGATGCGATGCCAGAGGGGTGGAAGAACGACGGGGCGGTACATTGAAGAAAGGGGCGAGACCTCGAACAAAGGGGCGGTACCTCGAAGAAAGGCGCGATACCTTGAAGAAAGGCGCGAGACCTCGAAGAAAGGGGCGGTACCTTGAAGAAAGGCGCGATACCTTGAAGAAAGGGTACGAGAGCAGCTGGAGCGGCAGAATGGTGGTTAGCATCACGCCGATCACGTCCCTGTAGCATTTCCACGTGTCAGCTGGCGAGTGGTAGATGGTGGGCTGCAGTCTGTACTGCTCGAAGAAGGGCAGGCGAAGGTAGTCGAGGATGGCGTACGGCAGGCACGCGAGCGAGTAGAGCGCCGCCAGCAGCACCACGGTGCAGCAGTACAGCTGGTAGTCCGCCACGCCTGCCGTCGCGCCCACCCACGCCGCCTCCGCTGCCGTTAAAGGTCTCCCCAGCATTTGCGCCGCCTCCGCTATTGTCACATTCAGCATTATGGCGGCTGGATCGGCGCGCGGTGAAGGTTCAAAGGCGGGATAGGGCTGGAACAGGACTCTGTACTAACTGTCAGGCGTTTCTTTTAGATCGTAACTGATTAAATTGAAACGTTCGCAGCTTCGACTGAGCACGGTACTCGTCTCCTAGACCCTACGTATTCGTGAGTGGGCCTGTGATCGGCCTTCCTGTCTCCGTTACAATCGACTATCGTCGCCTAATCTGCTCTGCTCTGGTGATTGTCGTCTGGTCGGCTCTGTTGATGAATGGCGAGGCGATGTTGCACCAGCCTCCAGCAGAGGTGGAGGGAGGGAGGGCGGATCCATACGCGATACTGCGGTGTGCATCATGTGCCTCCAGTTCCTCTGGGCGAGATTCGTGCCTTGAGCGGTAGAAGACTGGCGCGACTGGTGGCGACGGGTTACGGGCGACGAAGCAGGTGTCGTCGCTCTCGCAGCCTGCTGCTGCGACTGGAGCGAGCCTCGCGATGATTCGTCGCAAGACCTTGGAGAGTGAAATAGGCTGTGCTGTCAGGTCGCGAATGGCGACAGCCCCAGAAGGAGTGTTCCCAAGGACACCTGTAGTTCCAAGAATGTCGCATCCAGTTATGATCCGCCACGCTGGTCGCTGGGGAAACAGCTTGAGGTCACGAAGGAGTCATTTGTGAACAGAATGGAACCACCATGTAAATAGACTCGCCTTAGGGCGCATGAGTTATGGAACGTGCCGGGAGGAGGGTTCGCAATTTTGGCGGGTTACCGATTTAGCGAATTTGACGAACGGTTTCGCCAAACCCTCTGGTATTATGGCTCACAAAATGGTAAAATTACTTGGCTCGTTCTCGAACACACGAGCCTGCCAGACCGGAGTCCGAACTTGAGGTCCTCTTGACGCACACATTGTCACATCGACACGCCAAGGCAGTAACTTGCGAAAACAGAGTTGTCGCGCCGAATCGGACGTGGTCAATTCAGACGAGCCGCTTATCGCGACCCCAACCATGCGACGTCGTCCCTGATTTTGTCTAGGTGACTTTGTGGTGCATTGGGTTTCCAGAATTCGCTGACGTCGCAGCCCCTTGGCGAAAATGTGACGGTGGCTCGCCGTCGCTTAACTGTGTATGTAGGGAATTTCCATTCCTTACTGAGTCGTACGCTACACCCGAACTCCTCGACTCGTCACGTTCGGCCTCATTTATCGGCCCAACCTCTTCCCGAATCGCGTCCGGCACTGTCGCCACATAGCCGAACTTACCCACGTTCCGAGGTTATCGCCCTAGCACGCCAACCTCTATATAGTCTCGTGCCTTCATTGCAATTGCGACCTTGTATTCTACGTTATATTTCATTGATACTTACTATATCATAACAATTGGTATCAGAGTCTGAGCTTTCCAAGAACCTTCCGTTTTTCCCGTTTATCTAGTTAAAGGTGGTCAGAGGGGATTAGCACAACTGCACAACAGTTGTCTTGGATCGTAAATATTTTTACGTCAACAACTACAGCGTGTGCGTTAGCTTTTGCCCCGTCCTGACCGCCATGGCCCTAGTAGACTCGACGGTTGAGGGACAGTCCACCTCGGCTGTTGCGAACCCTGCCTGGGAAACTGTGGACCTGCAAACATTAATGGAGCAGTTGAAGAATTTGACAAGCGTCGTCAACGACCTCAACGACGAGAACCAGCGACTTCGCCAAGCGCAGGAGCGGTGTCCAGAGGAGCCGGGCGACAATGCACGAAGCGAGGCGGGTGAGCAGCAACCGTCGCCAGTGGAGATGGCACGACTAGCAGCAACAGCTCCGCGCTCGACAAGTGCCAGCATAAGATATCAGCAACCCGCTCCTTTCGACCCAGCTAATAAAAGCGTGACGGTGCGGCAGTGGATATTCGCCATGAATATCTATTTCAACGCGGCGGGCATCCGAGACGATCACAAGCGGATCAGCCACGCGTTAACACTGTTGCAAGGGGCCGCCCTACAGTGGTGAAAGGTCGTCGTCGACTCAGCGTCAACTCGCACAGAAGGACAACACGAGTGGTCCTAAAAATTCGGCGACAAAGACGAGGCAGAATTGTTGTTCGGAGCGACCCACATTTGCACGTGGGCAATGAGGTGCGTAGAGCTTCGCAAGCGGTTTGAGCAGGCTCCTGACTTAGACAAAGCACGCGAAACTCTACGTATGTGGAAGCAGCTGGGATCTGTGTCCGAGTACACCGCGTCATTCTTGACGTTGGTGGACAGATGTGGCTACATGCACAAGTTGGAGAAGGTCGATAGGTACATGGGCGGCTTGAAGCCTGAAATATAGACCAGATAAAACTGCAACGCCCTGCGAAGCGGTGACAAGACTACATCCAACTCGCCGAAGCCGCTGATTCAATCACGAAGCCGAGGACGAACTTCTACGACAGAGGTCGCCCTCGAGAACAGTACCAGCGCGCCACGATAAAAGGGTGGACGCAGTGGATATTTATGTAGTTTCTCTGCGAAATACGGGGCTATGCTATCACTGTGGCCGCCCGGGTCACGTCCAGTGCAACTGCCAAAAATTCATAGCCCTCCAGAATTCTATGGAGAAGAAGCCGGAGGAGCGACCGGGAAATGGGTCACGTCAGTAAGCATCGAGCCCCTTACTGACGGGCAGGCTTCTTCGCCCGAGCCACACAGTCCCCACCGGGTCGTGATCCCGATTGCTGCAATCGACCGGACCCGGACGAATAAGGGGGACGAAACTGCTGATCACCCTGTGTTGGTGGAGGGTAAAGTCAACGTGGTGTTATTGAAGATTTTCATTGATGGAGGCGCAAGTCACAGTCTCATACAACTGGACAGGGCTAAGAAATTGGGTATTCCTTTACTCAAGTGTCTACCTGAAATCGACGCGCGCCTGGTGGACGGAACACCGTTGGCAATACGGGAACGAGTGGAGAACGTTGGTTTTACCTGCGGGGAGCATGTAAAATTTCGGATGGGACTACTGGCGACTACTCTCGACGGGTGCGACGTGCTGCTGGGACGTGATTGGTTGCGACGGTACAACCCGAAGATTGACTGGACGACGGGCGGCTGCAGCATCAAGCTAGATGGGATTTCCCGCGAGCTGCCCAAGTGGAGGGGGGCTCGCATGCGAAGCACCCAAGTCCACGCGATCACTTTCAAATGCGCGATGAAAGCTGGAGCTGCAGCGTATGCCGTTGATCTTCGCGAGGTGACATCGACGGTCCAGACCAAGGATATCAGGAGGCTGTGCAAGGGTTCCTCCGGACTTAGTGGAACTGATTTCGAAATACCCAGATATTTTCCCGGACGATTTGCCAGCTGGACTCCCACCGAGCCGCCCTGAGGACCACTGAATCGAGCTGGAACCAGGCGCCCAATCGACGGTACAGCGCCAATTTCAGCTCAGCCAACCAGAAATGGAAGAATTACAGCAGCAGCTGGATTACCTTCTCACGAAAGGATTTATCCGGCCCAGCACGTCACCATATGTCGCACCGATATTGTTCACGCCGAAGAAGGATGGAAGATTCAGAATGTGTATCGACTACCGAACGCACAACCGGATCACCATCAAGTCGCGTTACCCGATCCCGCGAGACGACGAACTTCAAGGCCAATTTCGCGGCGCCAAGTTTTTCTCGAAAATCGACTTGCGAGGATGTTACCATCAGATTCGTGTCGCTGCTAAAGATTGTCACAAGACGGCATTCCGAACCCGCTACGGCAGCTACGAGTACCTAGTGATGCCTTTTGGCCTCACAAACGCGCCCTCGACCTTCCAGATGACCATGAACGGAGTTTTCGTGGAACTCTTGGACAAATGCGTCATCATCTACCTTGACGACATCCTAGTCTACAGCTGCAGCAGGGAGCAGCACTTACAGGATCTTGATGTGGTCTTCACGCTGCTGCACAAGAATCGCCTCATCACCAAGGGGTCTAAGTGCGATTTTCTTAAGCAGGAGTTGGAGTTTCTGAGCCACATCGTCTCTATTGAAGAAGTGAAAATCGACCCCAAGAAAATCAAGATTTTAGAGGAATGGAAGCCGCCAAGCAACATCAAGGAACTGCAGAGTTTTTTGGGATTCGTCAATTATGTCCATTGGTTTATCCCCAATATGTCTGGGTTATTTGCCCCGCTAATTGACCGACTGAAGGATCACAATAGTTTTTGGTGGGGAGAGAAGCAGCAAGCTATATTTGACCAACTGAAGATTGCACTCACGTTGCTGCCCGTCCTCCGCATCGCCGATCCTGACCGTCCATACGAAGTCATCACCGACGCTAGCGACATCGCCATCGGTGTAGTTCTTCTACAGGATTTTGGCGACGGATTACAGCCGGTCGCCTACGAATCACGAAAGCTACAGGGCACAGAAAAAAATTATACGGTACACGACACGGAAATGTTGGCGACCGTCCACGTGTTCAAGGCCTGGCGGTGCTACCTGACAGGCACTGACGTCACTGTGCGGACCGACCACAAATCTCTCCAGTACCTGCGAGCCCATCCAAACCTCAACCCGCGACAGATCCTATGGCTCGATTTCCTCGAGTCAAATTCCACTACACCATCACCTCCAAACGGGGCGCCAACAACATTGCTGATGCCTTAACCCGACCCACTGCCCATATTGCCGCCATACTAGTCGCCCAGACCAGCCCACTCTTTACCCACGACTACAAAATCGACTCCTTCTTCCGCTCCGCCATCCACCAACAGCATACCACCGCTACCGGATACTACATTAATAGGTGCGACACTTCCCACACCTGGGTTCCCGGCTACGATTTAATTCGTACCCTTCTTATACAGGAATCCCACGACAATCCTACCTCCGAGCATTTCGGAGTCGACAAAACCACGACGATTTTGCAGCGCAATCATTACTGGCCGAACATGGCTGACGACGTGCGCAAGTACGCATCCTCCTGGACCGCCTGCCAGATCATGAAATCATCCCATCAGCGAGCAGCCGGACTCCTACAGCCGTTGGATCCGCCCGAGGGACCCTGGCAACACGTCAGGATGGACAACATGACAGGACTGCCGGCCGGTCCCAGCGGAAACGACGCCATCCTCGTGGTCGTTGACCGACAAAAAAAATTGGCGCACTTCATCGCCTGCCAACAGAAAATTACAGCTGAGCTAACTGCCCAACTGTTCATTGCTAACCTCATCAGACTGCACGGACTGCCCACCGCCATGATTTCCGACCGAGACCTGAAATTCACATCAAATTTATGGCGCCACCTGTGTGACCAATTCGGCA